CCTTCTACCAGCATTTTTATCGAAAGAATGCGTTTTTGTTTACACATTTCTCCAATTTCACTTCCAGCAGCTAAACGAACGGCAGACTAGATTACGCTTTCATACTTTCATACTTGCATGAGTTTTGGTTTATAAAGCAACACCTCATAGACGCCAGACTTGCATTTAATTAATGCGTATGACAAGGTTTGTGATGGTGAAAAGTGGATTGCGTAAAACCCCAGTTTTTCTAATAACGAATGCACTCACACTGTTAACTAAATTAGTAGCTCAACGTAGGCAAGCAACATTTTACTGTTCCATAAGTGGTTTGATTGGCACGTTGCTATTTTTCGGCACCTCTTTAAGCATTACAGCAGGGGAATTTTATCTTCACTGCCTGAAATCCGCCACATTTTAGCAGTACCACCTTTGGACATTTTTTAGTGGGGAGCTGAAGTAGAATATATCTGCATGCCACGTGGAGGCTGAAGACTCTGATGTGATGTGACTGCGCTAGCTGACTACTTTCTAAACTACCGCGACTGCGATCAACGTAAACAGCCAAACGAAACTGAAGATGCACTTTAGATGACAATGACAGAAAATCCTTGCCATTTCCAAACAAAGGTTTGAATCTTCCGGTCTCCTTCACTCAAGATAACGATCTGGACTGGTGGTCCGGTGTAACTATTTTCGGAGGAAATGAAGGAGGCGGAAGTCCTGCCTCTTCCCTCCAAGTAAACCCACATCGACCTGCCTCTCACCTTTTCGCCTCGTTTAATGTCTGCCTCTTCAATCATTCTTATCTTCACCATGTCAATCTCACACTACCTTTAAAAATCAGCACAATTTACGTGTCTTTGTTGTCCGGAAGAAGTGATTTCTGTGATGCTGATACGATTGCGTGATTGGGAGATTGAGCCTAATTACGGAAACTAGTCAGTAGTTGAATGATGGTGTCCTATTCCTTTTTACCTCCTTCAAAACTCTTTTACATATAATGTCAACTTTAGTAGTGAAAATTTGTCGAAGCTAAGCTTTCTCTGAGGACGTTATAAGGTGGATAAATTTGG